CCTCACAGTAACTGGCTGGTCTATTCATTCAGAAGTCTTCCATGAACCACCTACTTTGGGCCATTCCTTTTGGTAGGCACCTAGGAGAAAACAAGAGGAACCTAACAGAAACCACCTTAATGACCCACAGAAAAGGACAAAAATCTAAGCATTTAGAAATGAGACTTGTACAAAACAACAAAGCATAGTGGGAAAGTGATGAAAATCATAAGAGAAATGCATTTGCAAACTCCCTTATGCCATTCTTAAGCATTCTTCTGGCACTATTGCCCTCTCCCTGCTGTTCATAGCAGCCACTATGAACATCATTGGCAAGCTCTAAGTCTCAGGCCCAATTGCCTGGCCTCTCACCCTGGAAAAGGGCTATTCCCTGGTCCTCCAGTCTGTGTCCCAAGGAAGCGTCAGGAGGGCACAAGGCAAGGAAGACTAAAAATGACACTGTCGTTCCTAAATACCCTTCTTCCCATTCTGACCACCTTTCCAGCTTTGCCCTAACCTCAGTTCACTTGACAGAAAGCCTGGTACCTGAGGGCTTGTGCCTTTCAGACCTGCTTCTTTGTTCCTATGCCTGGGTGGGGAAAACAGGAGGTGGTCTAGCAGAACCTATAAATGAGCCACAGGCTGCCCCTCCCTGAACATCTAGCTGGTTTCCTCTTTCTTACCTTGATACCCACTGCACCCAGGGTGAGGCCAGCCCAGTCTCTAACCACAGGTCTGTGAAGGGGGTGGACTCAGCAGAGTGGGAAGCACTCTAGTGGGGATCTAGAGCTGGGGACATCACCTGGCTATAAGTTTAAGGACCCTTGGCGATGGTGACAGTAATATAGGTCTTGGGAATAGACCTCACTTTCATGCTCCTCCTCCCCCATGTGCATTTCTCAGGGCTCTACTGTAAGGTGGAGGGAAGGGTATTTAGGAGCTAGAACACAAAGATGGGGGGAGTTGGCCCAAGGGAGGGAGTAAGGGAGTCAGAGCAGGGGGAGCAGGTGCCTTCTCCCAGCAGCCAGTTGAGGAGGGGATGTTGAGGGGGGTGGTGCTCAGACCCAGGCCAAGGCTTAGGGCCCACTTGAGCATGTCGCCTGCTAAGGAGGAGTGGAGGCGGGGGAGGGGAGGGTGGGGAGGTGAATAAATAATAGGAAATAAAACTTCATGAAGCAGAAAATAAAAGGCAGATTATACAGATGTGGCAATTTGAAGGATCATTGCCTCTGTCCTCTTTTTAACTGCTGCATCTGGAGTTTTGAAGCAGCTTATCCTCTCCCTCCCTCTGCCAGGTCCCTGCCTGGCTGGAGGCCCCCATGGGGCCAAGGCATGAGTGGAGACAGCACCTCAAACACCTCTGCTGGTGGCCTTTCCTAGCACCATGTGTGGCTGCCCAACCTGGGCCAAGTTCACAGGACTAGGGCAGTGAGTGAGAGGGCAGGAGGGGTGTCTGGAAGTGAAGCTCCTAGCCATATGTGGGTGTGGCTGTGTCTGCAAGAGGAAGGACAGCATTTTTAATTCAGGGTGGGTTATAGTGAATGTGCAGACAGGCAGGGACAATGGAATCATTGGTGGTCAGCAGAGGGGTGAAGATTTGTGCCAGCATGAGGAAGGGAGGCCCTGGCAAGAGGGAGTTTGGAGGTTTGTCAGCGGGGGTGTAGTGGGGTATCTGCTGCTTCTTTCCCCTCTTCATCAAAATTCATTTGTTAAGCCTCAATTTGACACAGTGCCAGGTGCTATATAAACAGACATGGTCCCTGCCCTTAAGGAATTTCCAACCTAAGACACACACACTGGCATTTTGTTTATTTTACTTTAAATATTAATGTATTCCACACCTTGTTCCAGGGAGGATTTGAGATAGCTCATAGGAAATGCATGCAATAAATTAATGATATAAATGAAAAAGAAAGCATTAGGACCCCAGATAATACACCATGTGTGGTAGAGTAGGTCCTAAGTGGCAGCAAAGTTGATCTGGAAATTAGCCTTGAATCTCTTAGTGATCGAGTGAAAAGGCAACCATGGTCACCTACTTGGCCCTTGTTCACAAGAAAACAATGTTCTGATTCGTAAAAGAAGCAGCACTTTTGCTAGAATTTGGTATAAAAGAAATTATTTGCCGTGACCCTGATAAAGGAGACTGACTAACTGTAAATGATCTCCTCAAAGACACCCACAGCCAATTTAGGCCTGGCTTTCCCAGGGTTGTCTTGTGCAGTGTCCAGCAGGGAGAGTCAAGGTGGTCACTCCCAAGCTCTGTCCAGTGAAAGCATTGAAGTCCAGAATATGTTGAGCAAAGAAGGATTCTGTACTCTTCCATACTTCACCACTGGGTCTTATTTCCAGTGAGTACCAAGCATGATCTAACATGTTTTGAAGGGAGTGAATGCATATGGGCCAGGAGAAGCCCAGAGACATGGGCAAGACTGTTCTGCAGATCCTAAATGAAAGGGAAATCTCTTCTTTACTCTTATACCTCCTCCCAACCCTGGGTTACACTACAGATAGGGACAAAGAGATCAGAAAGTCAGAAGTTTCTACTCTGATACCAAAGGTGAGGCAAAGATAGGTCAGATCAAATCTCCTTAGGTGTCTTTCAAAGCAATGGGAAAAATGTCATAGAATCATTCATAGAAACAGGGAGTCAGGTGAGGATGAGTCTGGGGAAGACAACACTAAGTTTAGTCTTACAGGTAATAAGTAACACCTGTACAGTACTTTTCACTTCCAGAAAGATTTACTTAGGAGCCATGTCTTGCAGACAGAACTCCAGGTCTGAAATTCAGAACAGAGATTGGGAATGGAGGTTTCCACTTGCAGACTCCCCCCAGAAACTATCCTGAAAGCCCTTTAGTCAGCCAAGTAAGACCTCCATGACTACACCTGTGCAGAGTTCAGGGGGTGGGAGGAGCAACAAGGATGCAGGAAAGACAGAAAAGAACATACAAGAAAGAAGAAGAGGGCTGGTGGAGTGGCTCAAGTGGTAGAGTGCCTGCCTAGCAAGCACGAGGTCCTGAATTCAAACTCTGATACCACCAAAAAAAAGAAGAAGAAGAAGAAGAAGAAAAAGAGAAGCTGGAAGCTTAGGAAGGATAAAGTTTTGAGATGTCATTCTTTGGACCATTGATATCAGGCCCTGGAGCAAGGTTGTAAGGATGCAAAGGAAGCCAACATCCCCAAGTCCTGACCTTGTAAAGTTTTGTTCTTCTCTCAACAGAGACAAAAAAGAAAGAGAGGAAAGGAAGAGAGGAGAGAGGATATTTTTTGGGGGGTACTGAAGGAAAAGACTCAAAGCAAGCTTCATGGAGGAAGTGGCATCTGGGTATTAGTTGGGTTTCTCTCATCATCCATTCCTCCTAACTGGTCCTTCCAATATGTGGAATTTCTCAGCAGCTAGTACCAGTCCCTTGTTTTTTGGGTGGTATTAGTACCACTCTTACCACCTCCCAAGGTGGAATTTGATGATTCTAAGCTCCTGGCCATAATTTAAGTGATTTTCTCAGATATGAGCACATGGCCAAAGGAAACTTTTCTTGTATTTAAGATGGGAATTTCCAGAAAGCAGATAGTTGCTATCTAGGAGATTTACACCAAGAAGAGCTCTCTTGGGAGCTACTGGGGCCATCTTGGTAACATGAAGGTTACTCCCAAGTCTAGGCCTCTGGTATGGAGTCACAGAAGAACAGAAGAGAAATGGGGTTCTGGATCAGCATGTAACCCTAAACTTTACTCCTGTCCCTTTCCTGGATGCAAATTATCTAGTTATTGGAGCCAAAGTCCTTTTCTGCTAAAGCCCATTTGAGCTAATATTCATAACTTGTAACCTCCAAGCAGGGGGAGAGCCAGTGCAAAGGCTCAACTCAAAATAGGATGACTTGTTTAGGGCAGGACCTAAGTCAGAGCCAAGAAAAGGAGGGGAGGGTGCCTGGCATGATTCAGTGAGGCTCTGTGCTAATAACTAACCTATAAGGCTCTCCTTCTGTGCCAGGCATTGTTCTGAGGTGTTTACGTGCATAATTTCACTCAATCCTCACGGGCCTCTGTGAGGTAAGTAGTGTTATTATCACTATTTTATAGAGAAGCAAACAGAAGCACAAGAGGCCAGGTAATTGGCCCCTGGTTAGATAGCTAGAGAACATTCAGCTGGGACTCAACCTGAGGCAGTCTGACTCTAGGGCCTGGTCATGGATGCCAGGCCAGGCTGGGTCTCAGTGCAGGGCCGGGCAGGTCATGTGGCTGGCAGGGCCAGTGGTCACTGAGAGGTGAGGGGAGACAAAGTCTGAGAAGACAATGGATTCGATGACTGAAGGTCATCAGTGGCCCTTGTGAGTGGTGTTTCAGGGAGGGGAAGGATGGGGTGGAAGCCCATTTGTAAGATGTCAATGAGAACCAGATAGGAATGGGACCCAGGTTAGGAATAAACAGCTGGCAAGGCCCAGCCATCCTGTGAGTTTATTATAGAGATGAGGACAGCAGGCCTTAACCATAAGAAACAGCAGAATCTAATGCAGGTTTGTATCTTCCTTTTCCTCAGATTGCTAATACTGGAAGATATTTGGCAGGCAAGGTAATGGGGGGTATAGAGTAAGCCCAGAGTTTCCTGATGGGCCCCCTGAGGGAGAGAGGTGCACAGCAGACAGGAGGAGGGAGACCATGCATGTTCAGCAGGACCATGAGTCACAAGTGTGTACCTCTTCCCCTGGGAATAGGGAAGAAGAGGAGAACAGGTAAAAGTGTAAGCCAGTAAGACGGTAATCATCCAGAAAAGCTAGAGGCAAAGGTGTTGGGATAGGTAACCATTAAAGAGAGAGTGGCCATTCAGAAAACCCTTAAATATCCATGAGCACACAGGTGGGGTGGGTGGGAGGGCCAAGGAGGAAAGGCCAGGTGTGGTCAGGTTATCCCACATAATGGAAAACCATATTTTCCATTTTCTTTTAATTTTTTTTTTAAATTTCAAAATAATATTACATTTAGATGAAAGTTGTACAAATAGTACAGTTCATTTCCTGGCCATAGTCTAACCTTATCCAATGCCCTTACTTACTCATCTCATTATCAGAACTCCAGGCTATGTCCCAAACCACAGCCTGTCACTCTGCTACTTAAAAACTGCACTGCACAAAAAGCCATACTCTTGGCTTTGAGGCTGTTAATCAGGCCTCAGTACCACTTGACCGCCCTGTTTCCCTCAGTCCCCTCACCCTGATCCTCAATAACAGCTCCTTTCAACCCCCACACAGCCCCATTTTTGTGTCCAGCTGCAGAAGACTCAGAGCACCCAAAGAAGAGAGAATCCAGGCTTCTGACCACAGCGATCTTTTAATTTTCTGTGGTGTCAGGCAAACAACAAATGAATGTGCTCTACAGAAAGCCAGCTGAGCATACCCCAGGAAGATGTTACATCAGGTGTCACCCTGAGTCACAGTGGGCCCAGGCACCCAGATGCTTAGTTCCCCTAGATGGGACAGGGAAGGACTACAGCCACACTTGATCCCCCTTCTGGAACCTGGGCTCATCACCGATAATCTCTCCCAGCCCTGTGAAGGTAAGAACCAACCCAGTGCACAGGTGGGAAAGGATGGTAGGAGACAAGGTCAGATATAGGCCTTCAGTGACCTGGTCTGTTCCATACCTGGGATTGGGACTAGAGACTCACTCAGCCCTCAACTTCCTGGTCACCAGGAGCAAACCAGAGATTTCTTTCTCTCCATTTGCACAAAGACATCAGCATCTCAACCTTTTTCTTGGGACAGGCTTCCCCAGATGGTAGAGCACTGGCCTGCACCACTGTGGGTTTGGAGAAGTATAAGGTTCCAGTTAAGGTGAAGGCCCGGTACAGACTAACTTTCTGCCTCTCAGTAAGCACATAACTGTGGCTGCACGCCTGAGCAGCCCAGAGTTAGGGAGATGCACGCCCGCCCCCCAGTGGTCACCTGTTACAACTGCAACCCAACAGACCAGTCTCCATCTCCCCACCCTTCTGGCAAACAGGCAGCATGGACCTGGTGAAGCCAGGCAGCCACAATCACCTGGCTCCAAAGGCTTCACGTGCCTGAGTGAAAGGGAAATGCTGGTTCTACATAAGCAAAGGAGTGTTGAAGTATCACACACACATGCAACCAAACCTCCACCTTTTATTCTGGTATTAGAAATAAGGGTGCATTTTCAGTACAGTCAAAGAACCCATTCAAGGCCACCTAACTTATAAGTATCAGTCCTGGGCCAATCATGTCCACCTGATACCAAATTTCCACCTCAATAAAATGAGACAAGTGGACTCTTATGTAGCTGTTAACTATACCAACCTCAGTTACCCAGGAGGGTTTAAATATATACCCATTCCCCTGACAAACTTACTGAGTCAGAATCCCTGAGTATAAGGAAGTAAGGTATCTTTTTCAGTGTGCTTCCCCTGAAAGAAAAAGTACCTCTCTTTACTGACAAGTGGGAACCAGTGGGCAAGACTCCTAACTTATGGAGTCAGAGATAGTTTAAATCATTTTGAATCCCCTTGTACTGGCCCGTATAAAATATCCCATAATATATGTAAACTGAATGAATGAATGGAGTGCATAAAATGATTCTGAGGTCCCCTACAGCTGGCAACCTGTAACTGTGAGACTGTACCATACACATGAACACACAGACACAAAGCACACTACGCACATGCACAGACACGTGACCACACAGGGGCAAAGGGGGATGTGGCCTGCCATACTGCAGGTGGTCCCAGCTGCATGATCTTCCCTTCCTCACATACACACATGCACACTTCCATCTTTGGTGGCCTGAATTTATTGTACACCCATTGGGTGCATGACCCAGTCCCGGGCCCTAGCCAGAAACCCCCATGTGGCCCAAGAGCCAGTCCTACTTTGTGAAGCTCTGGGCCTCAAGGCTGGTTACAAGAATCATCAGAAGGCAGGAGGATGACCCAACAAAAAGGCAGGAGAGGCAGTGCGTCAGTCAGGAGGCAGTGCGTCAGTCAGGAGGCAGTGGGCAGACAGTAAAGGGCCCCACTTGGCAGGCAGCCTACTCACACACTTGGCTGAACAGAGACAATGGTGGCTGCTCCCTCCAACCCAGCCTCCTTCCTACAGGCAAAGCCCTAGTCCCTGAGATTCCAGAACCTCCCCTAGAGAGCAGGCTGGACTGGGAGGCAGCCAGAGGGTAGGGCAAGGGGATTTCCCAGGGGAAGGTAGCAAAGCACCAGGAGCTACCCCAGAGATAGCAAAGAGGCCCTGGTCCTCAGGAATGCAGCTTTGTGGAGCTGTGGAGGAAGGGATATGTGGAGGAGTCTCCCAAGCCTGGCCAAGGACCCTGGTCTCCTGCCTCCATCCCATCCCTCAACACTTTTACCCAGCTGGTTGCCAGGCAGCCTCCAAAGGGAACTGTTACCACTCATTACCTGTCCACTTTTGCCAGAGGTCTGCACCAGGAAAACTACCTTCTCTGCCTCAGGGAAACAAAGGCTCCTTGTTCCTAGGGCTCCATGGTTCTCCTCAGAGCTCTGGAGGCCCTCACCCCTATCCCCTTGCTCATGCCATCGGCTCTGCTCTGTTGATTAGCAACTGGGCAACAAGCTCTCTCATTTGCCCCAGTACATAGATGACTTGAGGCAGAAAGAAGCCAGAGGAAACAAAGACCTAGAGCCCCACAGCCTCTCGACACTCTTGAAGCCTGCCAAGGTTCCTGCTAGAAGGCTGTTCCCTCAGCAGGCAGGGCCTAAGCAACTCTGCTCTCTATGTTGGTGTCTCTGTTCTCCTAGGGCATCCCCTGGCAGGTCCTCCAATTCCCAGGACAAAGCAGTCCTCAGTGCTGTGGCTCTCTTGGCTACACTGCCTCCAAGCTCTCTCCCAAAAGCCCAGGCCCACAGTTGTTCAGGAAATGATGCCACTCTGGATTCTGGGGGATGGAAGTGACATTGGATGAACTCTGGGAGTAGAGCAGAATCCTTGCTCGACTTCCCTCTTCCTTTAGGATTGGCCCGGAATAGAGGCAGTGGAGAGACTTCTAAGGGGGGAGAGCATGGGAGGAGGTGAGCAGGCACAGCAGTCTTAGAAAAGCTTCATAGAGCCAGGGAATGGGGGGCCACAGGGAAACAAACATTACCCTTCAGCAGAGAAGGGGAGGCGCCTCATCCCTCATCATGGGCCGGGTGAAAAAAATGTTCCTTTGCAGGGTTTCATCTCAGGTCCACTCCAGAGCAAAGGCCAATGTCTGAGATGTGGCACCCACCAGCTTCATAGCTGATTGCGGTTCCGCTTGGGGATGATCTTCCGGTAGGTTCTGCGCTCTGAGATGTTCCGCTTCACCTTGGCTGTGGTGGGAGCCTCATCATGATGCAGAGTTGGGCTTGAGTGGGACTTTTTGAGGCTGGGCTTGGGCTCCCAAGTGCCTCCAGCTTCCTTCCCCAGCTGCTCCTCCCACAGGGCCAGGTCCCCAGAGGGGCAATGCAGTCGGGCCACCAGCAGCTGCACATATGTCTCGTAGCGGGTTTTCTGCAACACAGGCAGGTCCCACCACCTTAGCACCATCATGGCTCCAGGTCAGGAGGAGGCTGAAGTGGTGTGGGACAGCTCACAGATGTACAAAGCTATGACATTAGAAATCTCTGCAGAAAGAAGGGTGAACCAACAGTGTCTGCACAATGCTTGAGTAACCAGACTGTTGAGCGTGCCTCTGGATCATACTATGATCACACATATCAGCCCAGACCTGTTCTAATAATAACCAACACCTTGTAGTGTTACATCTCTTGTACTAGATCATGTTACAACTCTAAGACACTCAAAACATGTGTAACCCACCATGCAGCACCATACCTAAGGAGCTCACATCTGGAATCTAAATAGCACTTTAACAAATGGTATCTGTAGAACATGGCACCACCTACCCTTGTTTGCTTAATACCCTAGGACCTCTGTAACTACAATCCCTGTGATACCAAACTCAGTATACAAAGTACGTTCCTACCCTCCATCCCACCAGATCCTCATTCCAGCCCTGGGAGTTTGGTTTGGTGCAAATAAGTGTATCTGATTTATAAAGAAGGAAATGTGGCCAAGGGAGGACTGGAGGCTGAAGGTCCCAGCTGGGCAGTGGTAAGGAGAGATTGGGTCCTTTCAACAGAAGCCTCTGCACAGTAGGGCACTCACCACCATGGAGACAAAGGATATTAAAAACAGGCCAGGGAGGGAGTGGACTGCATGAGAGCCAGGTGGGCACAGGCAAGAGGTGATGCTGCCATCCCCTCCCTGGCCTCTGCCTCTGGGTGGTCTCGGACTCCCTCTGTTCTCACACTGCATCTGGCCTACCCTGCTTGCCCAGCAGCCCCCACCCTAACCAGGACACCCAGGACCCCTGAAGCAGACACAAAGCGTTAGGGTCCCAGGATCTGCATTGATGTGAGGAAAAGCAGAACTGGGGTGTAAGAGTAGATGGAAGTAGGGGCAGACTAAAGGAAAAAGCACTTTGGAATCAATCATAGAGCTAACAAAGGTCACACCTTAGTTGAGACCATATGTGATTGGACCATATGTGATTGGACCAGCATGTAAATTTATCAAGTTTGGACAAACTGTTTAATCCCTGTGCCTCGGTTTCCTCATCCATAAAATGAGGAAAGAGTATCTACCCCAGAGATGTTAGATAATTAAACGGGATAATCCATGCAGGTAATAAAAACCCCATAGATAGTGCTTATGTTATTATTGGGTAGGTATGTATTAGGGGGATAGTTCGGCTGTGATATAGTTTTTCATTCAATTTAGAAAAAGACAAATATATACTAGGAGGAAAAAACCTATAAAATAATGTTCCTACGTGAGTGTTTCCAGACAAGCAACTACCACGTGCCCGAGACAAGAGGCGCAGGTGCCCGCCTGTGCATACACAAATCAGTCTCTGGTGGAGAGGTAACGGCTGCAAGAACAGAGGCAGCCAGGAGAGGGCGGCAGTCGTGGGCCGGGAGGCCCGAGAGGCGGTCAGACCGCCCGGCCTCACCTCATACTCCAGATGCTCTTTCCGCAAGCGGTACTCCTCCAGCTCGCGGCTGCGGCCCCGCCTCTCAGGTAAATTCCTCTGCAAATCCAGCAGGTCGTCGGAGGCAGCGTCCAGGCAGTTCTCGTGGGATCGATGCTGCTCCTCCTGGGGGTGGGAGGCATGGGGACATGTTCCTAGGTCCCTCTCCCGACTCCATAGCTTCCCTAGCATTCGGTATTCAGCCTGTCCCCGCTTCTGGGCGCAGGTGCGGTGCACAGCTCCGCCCTCCACCTCCTCCCGCGAGTCCTCCCGAGCACAAGTCCCCATCTGCTGCGGCACCCGACCATACCAGCGAGCTCTGGGCCAGGCTCACGGGCAGGATGGGCCGCACGAATCGGCGCTGAGAGCCCACCGCCGCAGGGAAGGGCGGCGCCGAATGTGTGGCCGCAGCCAGGTTGATGCGCGCGATCCAGGAAGTCATCTCCTTGGCAGTGCTGCAGGCAGAGGATACCAAGAGAATCCTATTATCTGCCCCCGACCCCCACCTCCTGTGTTTTGCACAACCGTCCGGCAGCTCAGGACTCAGCTCCAAAACCCAGAAGCCCTGCCACTAACTCCGGGAGTTGCCTGGTTTTTGTATGTCAATGAGGAAAACCCAGGAAAGTACATATTTTATATCAGATGTCAAAAATGATCATTGTTGGTAACTTCCTGGAATTCCTGTCAGACCTGGGAAGTTAGACCCAGACTTACAAAGAAAAGGAGCAAGGAGGAGTAGGCCACAACCACACCCATGCTTCTCTTCTGCACCCTTAGCACCTCTTTGCCACAGTATTCTAAAGTTTCCTGGTCAACCTGGCAGCTTTCATCAGGGCCAGGGCCAGCAGACATCAAGGTTTCAGAGTAGTCAGGGGAGAGGAAAACCAGGGGCATGAAGACCCTACTGCTTTCTCCCACCCTAAGGACTTACGGTGCCTGGAAGAGGTAGAGGCGCCAGTCAGCAGTTCGCAGCTGGAAGACATGTGGCTTCTTGGTATAGTGAGTGGCTGGACTAGCCAGAGAGTGGTGCACCCCCACGGGCTCATCTACCATCTGTCCAACCAAACTCTCCCCCTTGAGACAGTGGTCTTCTCCCTGTCAGAGGACACAAGGGCTCAGAGAAGAGGTTATCATCAGCTTCCCACCCTCCCAACAGTTCCAGGCCTTTTCTTGTCCCCCCAGGCAGCCCCAGGCTGCCTGCCACAGCTCTTGATTCCCTTCATACCTTTAGGAAGTAGAGAACCATCCCTCGCAGTAAGGTGTGGAACATCTTCCAACCACGCTTGCCCCATGGTGCTGTTCCAGGAGCAGACACAAAGGTGGGTGGTGGTACCAACATTTAGACACACTGACACAAGTGTGCCCAGAGTTCCCTGGCCTCACACCACCTCCAGTCTCTCACCAGGATAAATGTAAACACATAGAGCATACCAACCCAAGAAAACATGTACAATCACAAACAAACATCTAGAGTGTCCGCACAGGGAGAATCCCACTCAGAAACAACACCAGAGAACTGTTTATACACAGTGTGGATCTTCATACTGACTATTTCTCCCCAAACACATGCCCATAGTCCCAGGTGAACACACACCCATGCACAAACATAATTCCATCTGGGCACGTTTCTGTAAGGTGATGAAGATAATGTGTCCATCCAGAGGGGCATCAGGGCTTAGGTCCAAGACTTGGGGTGTCCTGCCCTATGTACCCCCAATGTAAGCACCAATCTTCCTCTTTGCCCTCCTTCCCAACTTCCCCACCCTGGTCTTGTATGGCAAGACCTGTTCCTAACTTCTTGGGCAGAAGGCCCCATTCCCTATAGTCATCTCCCTGGGGTCCATCTTAGGCTCCTGTGGTTTCTTACAGCCAATGTTGGGTTCCTTCCTGCTCAATGCACCCCATACAATCTGTGATTCCAGATTAGTCTATGGAGACCACTGTTCTAATCAGGTTGTAGCCTGGCTCAAAAACCTTCAACTGCCAGCAATGGCACCAGTGGTGCCTGTAAATCCTAGCTACTCAGGAGGCAGAGCTCAGAGGATCAAACTTCAGTCAGTCCCAGGAAAATAGTTTTCGAGAGACCCTACCTTGAAAAAAAACCATCACAGAAAAAAAGGGCTGGTAGAGTGGCTCACACAGTAAGAGTACCTGAGTTCAAACTCCAGTGCCACCAAAAAAAAAAAAAAAAAAAAAGTCTTCAACTGCCTTGGGGAATGAGACCCAAATGCAGGACCTGACAATGTTGTCCCAATGCATCCCCCGCTGTTCTCGTTCAACACTCCATGTTCTGAGTAGATTTCACTTGCTCTTTGCTCTGCAGGAGACACCCCCTACCTTACTGCAAAACTCCAGACCCTCTTATCCTCCAAAGTTCATTCAGATGTTACTATTCACCAGAAGGCTTCACTATTCCTGTACCCACTCCTAGTCCCCAGAACAAAAACAAAAACCTCTCCTTCCTGCAGGCTCCTGTACTCAATCCAGCCCTCCTTCCACCTTTCATCCAAGACATTGACATGTCTGCCTAATCTCTGCCTTACCACAGGGGCGCTGGAGCCCAGTAATAACTAGATTTGTTTTGTCCCAGCACCCCACTCCCTAACCCCTTAACCAGCACCTACCCTCCAGTCATTATTCAGGACGTGCTGAGAAAAGAACAGGGGCTGCCTGTCCTTGACTCGGGCCATCCCTCTATACACCATACACTGCACTGCACAGTCCCCTGAGCAGAGCCACTCCCCCATACCACCCTGTTCCTGACACTCACTCTTCTTGCCATCAGCATCGTGATGCATCTTCCGAGCCAGGATGCCTTGTTTATAGGTGGGCACCGTGGGGTCTTGAGCCAGCTGAAGGAAGGGGTTGCTCATCTTGCCAGCTGAGGGAGATGGCTGGGCCTTCTCAGGTCTAGCTGTATCCTCTTCATCCCTGGGTGTCAAAGAATTAGGCTGGTAGTCTTGACTGGGCACAGACTATCAGGAAGTACCCACTGCCTCAGCACTGTTTCTTACTGGGAAAACACATAATAAAATCTCCAGAAAAAAAGAGTCCTTATCCAAAGTCAACCCATAAATTCCTGGAAAAACTGCCATAGCCATCCTTCACTACCTCTGGCTTCTCCAGTCTTACCTGGGCTCCCCTGCCCTCCCTGAGACCAGCCCAAACCCTCATCTCTGGATCAACCCACTTAGAGGGACCGTTGTGCAGGGCCCTGACCTTCTCCAACTCTCAGGTGAGTGACAAAGGAAAGATAGGCCCAGGGGCAAGGGCAAAGAAGGAGAGGGGAAAAGGCTTTCACTTACACAGCCCACTCGAGCTTCTCACTTCGGATAGACCAGTACAGAGCCTGGGACAGAAGCACACAGGTGTCAGAGGGGCCTTAGGGTTACAGTGCCTAAATTCATTCTGTCTGGTAGACAGCTAGGGGCATGTGAACTGCCTCTTCCCTCCACCCTCATTACAGCTGCCTTCCCTTGAGCAGGCAAGCATCCATCCATCCATCCATCCATTCATCCAAACATTCATCCATGCAACAAATTATTTACAGAGCATTTCCCATGTTTCAGGCCCTGTATTGGGTGTTGAAAACAAAGATGATCCAGGTAGCCAAGTTCCTGCTCTACTCAAGCTTAGTGAAGGTTGAACTTGTCCTTTCAAAGGGGACATAAATCACGCACAGCCATACTGTCCTGAGGGATCTGACAGAGAAGGAACCCTGCTGAACAACTCTGGCAAGAAATGTTTGGTAAGTGAATGAATGAATGATGGGTTAGAATTCTGAAATAATGTAGCATAATATTAATATAGATGTATTCTTCTTGCTTTTGTAGCCCTTGAAGAACATAGCAAGGTGCACGGCACATAGTAAGCAAATAAATGATCACTAAATAGATGAAAGAGCCAGTGATCTAGTTGCTTATGGAACACATGCTATGCTGCCAGGCACTGTGCTAAGCACTTAACTAATTTTATTTCATCTTTTTTTTGTCTTTTTGGCAGCACTGGGGTTTGAACTCAGGGCCTTGCTAGGCAAGTGCTTCACCACTTGAGTCACACTCCAGCCCTTTTTGCTTTTAGTTATTTTTCAGATCGGGTTTCTTGCTTTTGCCACAATCCTCTTACCTCCTCCTCCTGCATAGGCGCAATTACAGGTGTGCACCACCACACCTGGCAATTTCATCTTGATAATGACACTATAAGATGGTTATTGCTCCCAGGAAGAACTTGACTTGCCCAAGACTAGAAATCAAATCAGAAACACCCAGCTCCCAAAGCTGAGCTCTAGACTTTCACTATATGAAAGCCTGGCTTTCATCTACTCAGATAACCAATAAGCCAGCACTTCTCAGACTTTGTGGGGAGCAAAAATTATCTGGAAACTTAATAAAACATTTGAAGAGCCCCATCCTCACAGAGTGTAGCTCAGGAGGTCCAGAACTGTCAATCTGTACAGCTAACAGATTCCAAGATACCACTGATGCTGCTAGCCAGGAATGCACAGGCAAATCCTGTCCTCTCAAGCATATTTCACCAGAGCAAGGCCTGAACTCCACATTCCCCTTTGACACAGGGCTCCAGACAGAGAGCCTAGGCCCTAGCTCAGCCATACCTTCAGCAGCTCCTTGGGGAAGTTCCCACCATCCTGAAGGCCATTCAGGTTGGTAATGAATTCCTGGCAGCTCATGCTCTTTCCAATGTTCTGTGGCCATGGAGAAAGTGAGACAACTCAAGCACCCCACCTCAACAGAACACACCCCCCAGACAGTTACTCAAGAACCTTCTCTAGTTCCTGAGGCTCCTATGCCCCATGACCATGCCCTATCCCATCGAAGGCCTCTGGTCTTCTCTTCTCCTCCTTCACTCACAACAGTCTCCATCCTGACCCCTGCTCTAGATTCATAGGCACTCACCCCACCTTCTTACCTGTCCATGCAGGTCTGTGTTAAGAAGCATGATGGCACAGGTCAAGGTGTGTATGGAATCTGTCCCAGAGAGAGGCAAGTAGAAAGCTCATTGGAATTCAGACTTCTGTGTCCTCTGCCCACACTAGGCAGGGTACCCCCCTCTATTTCTCCAGAACCCCAAATGCTCTCAGCAGCTCCTGCCAGTGAATTCCCAGCAGGCACAGCAATACCCATGTGCCATCCCCAAATTCCCCTTGCCCTGCCCTCAGGTCATCCCCTCTTACCTACTGAGGGGAAGGCCCCAGGATTACAGTAATGGAAGCGTTTGGAGAACTGATAGAGGATTCGCTCCCTCTCCTGGGTCTCCCCACTGAGCACCAGGGCCTGGAGGAAGCCCCTGCCGAAGGAGGACCAGGGTCAAGGAGAGAGCCAGACTGGCAGACTGGGATGCCCTACAGACCCCAGAAACTCAGGGCCAACCAGGGTTGGCCTTGGCTGGGGCCACTGCCCTGCAGCCATCCCTCCTAAACAGAACCTCCCCTCCCAGTCTCCCTTACCCCCCAGGCCCAAATAGGTTACCGGAGTGCTCGGTCCAGGTTCTGGCCTCCAAACTGGAAGAAAGACAAGTACTCCTCTGCTACAGCCCTGCTGAAGTCATTGCTACAGAGGAAACATGGGGGTGAAGACTGGATGAAAGCAGTTCTGCCTTTTCTGCCACCCCTCAAGTCTTGCTCAGATGCAGAGGGGCCTCCAGGACCTGCACACATGGGGCCTAATGTGGCAGGGACTGAACAAGGGAAGACACAGCTAGAACTGGACTCCAGGTCCTGAGAGGGCAAGAGGGCAGCCAGGGTATGGCCTGACCCTGGCACAACAAACAGTGTTGCATGGGAGGGGCATGGAAACTAGGGTGGACAAGGGGTACAGGTCCAGGGGCTATAAGAAGGATCAAGGCATGTAGAAGAGAAGATTCAAGTACAACTAAGAGGAAGCAGCAGGGATGGCCAGGAATGGGAAAGGCTGTGTTTGGGGTGTGGGGAGGAACCAGGTCAGGGGTGATGAGATGAGAGGTAGTGATGGGGGACTGAGGGAGGACAAAGGCAAGGAAGGAGATGGGTAGCTAATGGAGGCAGCCAGTGTGCAGCTATCCTTATCCTACCTCACCCTCCTGGACACTTGCTCTGACTTTAAGTTCCTTACTTCTTTTGCAGGTAGGCAGCCACTTCAGACTTCCGGAAACCCTCCAGGTGATAGAGGCGTGAGGCTAGGTTCCAGGCCCCTTTGTCATTCCTGATACCATTAGCCAACTTGTCTCCAGCCACTGACTTCTGCCCTTCCTCTAGAGACTGTGCTTGGGGCATGGAGCTCTCTGGAAGCCTGAAAGAGTCCATTGTTGCCTTCAGACTCCCACCTGGGATGGGCAAGTAGAGATTATACATCAAATATTCTTGCAGACTAATCATGGAAAGGGTGTCCAGAGCTCTGGATCAGTGCTGCAGCTCCTGGGCCTTCAATGGTAGGGACTGGAGGAGCTGGACCCAGGCCCTCACCCAGGGAGAGAGAATCACCAGCCTGCGCTGGACCAGCAGAACTCAAGAGAGGAGGTACTCATATAAGACAGCCAAGATTGACAACTTAGAGAGTCAAAGAGGAGTTTCCAATGTCCCCCTATCCCTGTCTAGCAGCTTATACTGCAAGGAGACTGGCTGAAGACTTATGGTGGGCAAGCAAGCTCAGGAAAGCCCCACTGGAGTCAGAGAAGATTCAGAAGCTAACACCAAGACTCTCAAGTTGCTCAATCCCATCTCTACCTGTTTCCCCTGCAAAGTTACAACCAGATAACACAGGTAACCAGGATAAATATTCATTACCCAAGTTACAACTATTAGGGAGTCAGTCATACAGGTAGGCAAACGTCATCACAATATGAAAATAGTCACTGACAAACTAACTACTTATTAGACATCCCTTGACAGCCCTCTTCACTTAATACAAACAGGTCAGTTCTTTGCTGATAACTTCTCTGCTTCTTGAAATTCTTAAACATCCTGCAACACAGGATTAACACAACAGAAATGAACTGAAAAGTGAAATTGCACAAAATGAAGGATTTCCTGAAGTCCAGGAAAGTGATGCTAGAAGATTCCAAGAATCACCTGGAAAGCCACTGATAAATGAGGAGCTGCAGGATTAGTCCTCTGAATAACTAAAGAGGAACTAAAAGCAATGACTGAACTGCTACATCTAAAAAGAATTATTTGAATAATAAGCTGATGAAGGAAGCCCTAAAAGACATTTTAAAAGATGACTTCATCAATAGCATTGTTACTACTAGATAGGGAAGCACTTTGGAAAAAAAAACAATATGCAAATAACAAAGTGTCATGGAATTGTACTGTACACTTTAAATGGGTGAACTGTATGGTATATGAATTATATCTCAAAAAAACCTGGGTGGTTTGGTTTGGTTTGGTTTGGTTTTTTTTTTGAGACAAGGTTATGCTGTGCAGCTCAGCCTGGCCTGGAACTGGCTGTGTAGCCAAGGCTGGACTTAAACTTAAGACCCTTCTGCCTCAGCCTCCCAAGTGCTGTAATGACAGATGTGTGGCACCACACTTGGTTTGGAGTCACTTTAATATTCGGTATTGTCAGCCTCCCTTTTTAGATACTGAGACCTCTCTGATTACCCAGCCTCTGAACAGCTCCAGTGTGGTTTCCAGATACATAAAGAAGATAGTTCTTTGGCTTGTAGCACTGACTGTTCTGAAACCATCACCCAACAATAGTAAGATGGGAGTACAGTTCACCCTTTAGTTATAGCACCATTTCATAACCTGAACCATTGCTCCTCCTAGTCAGTCTCAGCCCCTTCTCTTCTCTCTCTCTCTCTCTCTCACTCTCTCTCCCTCCCTCCTTCTCTCACTCTCTCTCCCTCTCTCCCTCTCTTTCTCCCTCTCCCTTTCTCCTTCTCCTTCTTTCTCTTTGATGGCAGTAGGACTGAACTCAGGGCCTCATGCTTGCTAGGCAAGTGCTTTACCACTTAAGCCATGCCCACAGTCCTTCTACTTTTAGTAGTTTTTTCAGAATAGGGTCTCACACTTTTGCTCTGGTTAACCTCTGGCCATGACTCCCCAAAGGTTCTGGGATTATAGGCACAGGCCACCATGCCTAGCCTCCTCCTGATGTCTTCAATATGACCCCACTCAGCCAACCACAAAACAAAATCCCCTTTCCCATGTAGAGCTCTCAGGAGCTGAAAGTCTAGAAGCAGCATCCTGGGGAAGGTAGACATCTAGATTGGTTTCCCAGTTGGTCTATTCCTACCTCTGGCCATAGTTCTGAGGTTACAAAATCCTGCTATAAGCCCTAAAACCCAGTCTCTCAGTTCCAACCAAACCTCCCTTGTGGTTGAGATTCCAGCCAACACCCTGGGCCTGGGCTCTTTAGTGAGTTTCTCCCAGACAACTCCTCAAGTTCAAAGCAGTTTGTAATCCCCACTCACAAGCTCCAGCCTTCTCTCCCCACAAGCATGCACATTGTTCTGGTTTAGTTACCTGAACATCTCCTCCCCTTCCTCCTGTGGTGTCTAACTCGGACACTTCTCATGTCTCTTCCTCTACACACTGACATTCTGCCTCCACATGTGAGACTATCTGCCCTTTAGTTTCTTGTGCTTTTAAACCCTTCAGTCTTTATCAAAACTCTACTGGTGCCCAGTCATATAAATCCCACATAATACAGACAGGAAGGCTGTAGTAAGTATTAGTATGTTGAGTTCCTATGGGCATTTCTCACACTTCACCCAAAACACGGTACTCTTTGTTTTGTTTTGTTTTTAATTTAAATTGCTCTAGGGCTGAGAATGTGACTCAATGATAGACTGGTTGCCTAGAATGCATAAGGCCCTAGCACCTCAAGAAATTTAAATTGCCTTAATTTCAATTCCATTTTAACTCAATTTCCAGTTAATTTTAACATTATGGCCTTAGAAGAACTGGAGAAAATGCTTCTTCAGATCAGAGTATTCTTAAATGCAGCCATAATTAGGATCCTGGAAGATAGTTAACGTGAGACTCACCCTTCTGAAGAAGACAAGTGAACGTCGGACTGGGTGCCTACAGCCTCTGCAGTCTTGGCTGTGCTTTCCCTCTTTACTTCCTGCCCTGAGTTTGGGGCCTCCTCTGCCTCCTTTTTCTTCTGGGAACTTGACTCTGTGACATCGGTCTCCACAAGCAAATGATGCGAGGAATCTAGTGGCCACTTGGGAGAAATGTTGTGGTGCTGGAGCTGTGGGCTGCCCTCCTGGGAGGATGCAGGGCTAAGTGTGGGGCTGTGGCCTCTGGTCTCAGACTCCGGACTGCTAGGCTCTGATGAAGAGGCTGGGCTCCCCCAGGGGCCAGGGGCCAACGTGAAGGGTGTTGGTTCCTGGGGATGCCTAGTAGCCCTCTCACCTGAGGAAGAACAAGAGTAAGCAGGCCCAGGGCAGGAGGCAGGAGAACAGCTGGCTGCTGCCTCTTGGCTTCCAGACCTCCCTCACTGGGCACCTCCCTGGAGCTGGGCAGCATGCCCTGACCTCCTGCAGGCAGTGACCTCTCCCACATGAGCCATCCAGCTGGCAGCAGGCTCCCAGGACTCCAATTCTGAGGCAACTAAGGGCTCAGGACTTGTGCTGAACCATTAAGACCCAGGCTTCAGCAATGCTGGGTCTTTTATACATTCCTTCACTTACTCGGTAGGTATTTGGAAGCTCATTTTATTCATGAAGTCACAGGGTTAATTCCAAGTCTGTCTGGCTCCAACACAATACAACACAACAAACCCCAAAACCACCTTTGTCTCTACTCTGTGCATTATTATTATTATTATTATTATTATTTGGTGGGACTAGGGTTTGAGCTTAGGGCTTCATGCTTGCAAAGAAGGTGCTCCACTGTTAAGACACACCTCCAAGTCCACTTTGCTCTGGTTATTTTGGAGATGGGATCTGGAGAACTCTTTGCCCAGGCTGACCTTGAACTGAAATCCTCCTGATCTCAGCCTCCCAAGTAGGTAGGATTACAAGCATCAGCCACTGACACTTGGCTTTTGTCTTTACTCTGAATCCTGAAGACTCCCCACCCAATTTCCCAGACTCCCATATTGGGTCTTACCTCTGTCCTGGGAGATAAGCGGCTCCTGGGGCCAGGAAGGACCCTCTCCTGCCTGCCAGCCCTCAGGGTTGGGTAGGACCTGTAAAGGCACATACCTGTCTATAAGCCCTGGAGACAGAGAGGTAAGTAGGAAAGAGGGGAAGGAAAGGAGAGGAAGAATGCTGGGAGTATATGAAAGCTCCACACTCTTTGCTGTCCTCCCACTCAGAATATATGGGCATCGCTCTGAAGAGGCATCCTGGATGTGGAGAAGACCCACATGCTGGAAGTGTTAGTACTGGGCCCTGGAAATCAGTGAGTTTATGTTCCTCCTTCACAAACAGAGATGGTGAGGCCCACAGAAGGAAAGAGACTTGCCCAAGGCTGTATAGGATGTGTGTCAGGACTAAGGTCAGATCCAAGGTCTCCCGTCTCCTGGTTCAATGTTTGGTCCACACAGGGAACTACCGGTGAGGCAGATCCAAGCTTGTCTTCCACAGACGCCTGAGAGAGAAGACAAGGGTGAATAAGAGGTTTAACCAGAAGGAAATTTCTCCCAGGCCCTTTCCCACATCCTATGAGGCCTCCCATCCTATTCAGATGGCCCTTCCTGGGGCAGCTCCCACCCTAAGATGGGTGCTGTGTTATTGGGAGGGTGATGGCCCCTAGCACTGGGCTTGATGGTTTCTACCAAAACAAGAAACAACTTCCAGATTCAACAATGTAGCTCCCAGGCTTCCATCTGAGGATTTAGGGCCTTAGAGCAAGGTCCTGTGAGAATGCACCTCTAGAGGACTGGGAGCTCCTCTGATCTCCATTGTCCTCTGTGAATGGAAAGATTAGAAAGTTACAGCCTGGCTCTGCCATCTTGAGTTCTCTTATCTCTAAAGCACAGGACTCCCTGGGAAAACTGTGCTCCCTATTGTCTCACATATCTTGTCACCATCCATGGTTGATATCAAATATCTCTTGCCATTGTCCTGAAGACCTGATCTAACAATGGACAGGAGGAAAATGAAAGATGTTGAGTTAAAAGTAACAAAATACTGAAATCTCTCAAGAAAACAGAGAACAGGACTCCTAAAGTAGATATTGGTTAGGAGCAGAGGTCAGCCTAGGCTGCCCCTGCCCTGTTACAGTTGGGAATGTCTTGGAGGTGGGAAGGGAAGAATCTGAGAATGAACTGCAACGTCCTGATATTGGAGGAGCTGTTTGTTCTCCAAACCTATCTAGCCATGTCCCCTGGGTTGGTGAGAGGGAGATGTTTGTGGACTTCATTGATAAACATATTCAGTTGGTATCATGGCACCAATAAAATTTCCCATAATTGTGAAGGCCACCCTGACCCAGATTTTCTGTTGTAATACCCCAGCTCTCAAAAGCATCATAAAATAGAGTTCTGGGCCTGGTGGCTCCTGAGGAAGGCCCTCCCTGCAGTGTTCTGAGCACATCCCTGGGCTGATTTCTTATAATAAACTTACCTCGCTTTCCTCCTGACCAGGAGGAGATACTGAGGAAGTCCCCTCAGTGGGAGCCCCTGAAGCCCAGCAGAAAGGGTGTGGTTTGTAGGAAGGCACAGGAGGGGTGGTATAACCACTGGAATCAGTCATGCCACACCCTGTATCTGGCTCACTTCCTGGTTCCCAGGACCCTGTGCTTCCAGGGAGTACAGGCTCCAGGGTCTGCAGGTTGTCAGATCCAGTCCTTTCATTGGTGGGGGAGTCTGGAAACCCCCAGGAAAAGCACTCCCCAGCAGCACTGGTATCTGAGCAAGGGCTCTCCAAGAAGAGAGGATTATCAAAGAACAGGCTCTCCTCCTCTGCACCCCATTCTGGGGAGGAGTCTGGAGTTTCCCTCCTCGGCCAGACCTGGTTCTCCCCTTCAGCTCCACTGCTGTCATCCCCAGAATCCTCCTCTACAGGTAAGCTAGGGCTCAGGCACACATCGCCAGAGAAATCCGGAGCAGGTGTGGGAATACAGCACCTCAGCTCAGCCCTGAGCCCTTCAGTCTTCTCTAGCTCCTCCTCCAGATCCAAGACACACATCTGGGCCTGCAGGATGCCAGCCCAGAATACCACCTGTGTGGATGAGTTCTGGTTCTGCCGTGGGCTCCTCACAGGGTGGCTGTCCCCTAGAGACCCTGATGATGCTGGTGTCTGCCTGGGCTCCCTCTGGGAAGAGCAGCTCCCCAGGCATGCAGGCTCCATACCAGGGCTACTATGAGGATCATCAGGCTTCTCGGTGGATTCAGGAGGGTCAAAGGTCCAGGTGTGTTCCCCACAAGGTTCAGGAGGGTCTGGATGGCCATGTGTTTCCCTTGAGCATGCATCTGCATAGGGCTGCAGATTGTCTCCCAAATAGATATTGAGAAGTTCCACTGGTTGGGAGTGGTCCAAGAGTCTGTTGTCACCCATCATCCACAGAACAAAAGCTGCACAGGAAACGGTGTCCGTTTTCACAATTCCATTTCATAGATTAAGGAGAGTACTGAGCAGGGACACAACTTGGCAACTACCCTGGAAATGCCCCAAGTGAATACAGGTTAGAAAAGGCCTGTCAGCCCCTTGAAGAACATGTCCAAGTTCTATACATGTTTGGAGTGCTGCCACAGCTATGATGGTTGCTAGGAGACTCTGCCCTCACAGTCCCACCAAGAAGAGTGTACAGATATGCCAACTGACCCCACACGCTCAAACTGACACCCAGCCAGTCCCTGCCCCAAAGACCACCATCCGTCAGCTGAAGGAATCACATGTGACTTAGCCAGTGAAAATAACTGGTCAAATCAAATCCCTCCCTTGGAAATCTGGATTGGAGAATGCAGACATCGAGGTGGTTGGTAGCAGGAACAGAAGGTGGAAATGTCTCAGGGCATTGTGAAGGCAGTGGAAAGCCAAAATGGCATGCAAACCAGAGTATATGGAGGGCCAAACAGAGACAGACTAGAGACAAGGAGAAGGGAGAAGTCTTGCAGGACAGAAAGGCCATAGCCTCCCTATTTCCACTGTGTAAGTTTCCTACTTTTTGGCCTGCACCATTCACAAGGCTAGCTCACAAGGCTTGCAAGCTGCACACAGATGTGCAACTTGACCAGGCAGAAGTAGTTAGGGGCTCTCCACTAGCTCAGTCTTTGCATCATGAAGGACAAAGCTCCAGCTTTTCTGTCCCGTGGCTAAGTAGACCACTTGCTGCACGGGGAGGAAACTGGTCTTGTCCATCACTGTTCTCCAGCTATTTTAACTCGGTCTCCATTCATCATTCTTGGTTCCACCTCACTACCACACACCTACAGCCCCAGATTGAGGACTTACAGGACTTGCTCCCTTAAATCAGAGGAGCAATAGCTACTACTTTGCTCCCTCTATGCAGCTGCCCATTTCTATCCTCTCAGCAATCTGGATAAGTGGCCTGTGACAGTCTTACTTCTAACAGAAAGGGATGAGTGAGTCCCAGGACCTGCTATAGTTCGGGATCTGGAATGTCCCCCCAAAGACCCACATATAGGCAGGGTCTCCAACGTGATACTAGAGAGTGCTGGAGGTGGAGACTTTAAGAGATGGGGCCTAGTGAGAGGTCTTTAGGACACTTGAGGCACCCACTGAAAGGGATTGTGAGACCCTACTCTTCTCTCTCTTGCTTCCTGGCCATGAGAGTAGTGGTTTTGCTCTGCCATATGCTACCACCATAATATGATGTCTTGCCACAGGCTCAAGGTAACAGGGCCAGTCATGGACCAGAAGCTCCAAAACTGTGAGCCAAAATAAAATTTTTCTCTTCGTTAAGTTAATTATCTCAAATATTTGTTATAGTGATGGGAAGCTAATGTAGGAAGCACTGTCACAAACCATACTATCCTACCCCAACCACAAGCCTGAGAGCAAGGTGAAACACTCTACTACTGCACCCCCCTCAGAAACCAGTCCACAGGGCACAGGGTGACTTGCAAGAGCACTCCACCTAGGGGCTAGAGAAAAAAGGAGGAGAGAAGCAACTGAGTCGTAGGTGTTCAAACACGGGCAACCCCACCTCTACCTTACTGCCTCCCTCCCTTGCCACCTGCCTCCCTGTTAATCTCTACTCTGTCTATGCCCACCTGGCTCCTTTCCTGTGTATGTCCCTTCTCCTGTCCTCATCCCTGACCCCCACACATTGCATTTGAATGTGTGCCTCATGTTCACAGGCATCAGGGCATTTTTCCAAGATGACATCAACTCACCCACTCTTACTAGAGAACTCACTCATTAGACAGAATAAGTCCACATGCAGATAATGGAAATGAAAACAGAGACAGCCAGTGAGAAGGGTGTCCTGGAATTTTTTTTTTTGTAAGACCAGAGAAATCTCACATGCCTCTCTTTGTAAATACATGCCTATAAATACCAACCTACATATATGTACATAAAGCTGTCATGTAGCAACATATTAATGGCTACAATGGACATCTCTGAGTATTGAATTTACCTTCCCAGAATAAACCAGTGTTCCTTGCTGGATTTTTTTTCATAGGGGAAAAGCTGCAGCAGCATTCCAGAGACCAGAGAGAAGACAGCAGATCTCTGGGGCCTGCAAAGTCTGAAGGACATGGAGAGGAAAGGGGCTAAGAAATGGTGGGGGGGCTCTTGGTGATGGGAGGAGAAGCTCATACGAGGAAGATTACAGTGTGATGGGTGAGAGCAAGGTATATGGTATGACTGGGCCTAGACACATTAAACTCAACCTTGACCACATTCCATCCTTCTCTGACCCCAGTGTGTGATTCCTAGTGTTTACTCACATAGTTCTCCTTGCCTGAAAATAAGCATCAAATAGGCAGGTTCTCAGTGTTTCCTGTTCACTGCTGTGTCTCAGTACTTCATGTAAGTGAATTATCCCCACTCCCACCCACAAAGTTCAGGGGAAGAGGAGGGCATATCCAGTTAGACTGGATCAAAACATTAAAGGTTTGAGTGTTGACTTGGGAAGTTCAAGACAACTTGTGAGCTACCTAGGGTTCCAGAGCCTGGTGGGAGGTAGGCCCAGTTCCACAAAGACCATGCCATATGGATGGAGCACACCTTTATGGTAGGGTTATCAAATATTGCAAATACACGTATTAGGGGCCGGGGAACGTAGCTCAGTAGCAGAGCGCTTGCCTACCATGAGAAAGACCCTGGTTGATCCCCAGCACCTGAAAAAAAAAAGGAACTCCCAATATCTGAGACATGCTTACACTAACAACTTATTCCCTGGTTATAAAAAAAAATCAAATTTAACTGGCCATTCTGGCCTTTATCCAGAAACCCATAGCCATGGGGAAGGTATAAACAATGTTATCAATCCCCTACAAGCATGCCAGTTATCCATCTTTAAAGGTATGAGCTCATCCGTCTTGCCAGCCATTCCACAAATGAGAAAAGCAACAACCCCTTCTTACTAAGAAGGAAGCTAAGGTTCAGAGAGTTTCAGAAATTTGCACAGGTACCTCAGCTAGTAAGTGAGGTAATAGGAATCTGAATCCATTGTGGGTTTCTTCCCATCCACAAATCCATTTCCTTCAGACTCTCATAAAGTCCATAAAGAGACGTATGTTCCTTCCATTCTATATTTTAAAATTGCTCCTCTCTGAATGCAAAAGTGGGATGACCCAAAGAATGTGACCACTTCTGATGGTCATCACAGCTGTCCTATCAGTCACTTGGGTGTCCAGACTTTGTTTCCTGGAGAAAGGATGGAATCTCTCCAACAGAGACAGGTCAGGAATGGGAGAAGCAGAGCCCATGTCTTAGGTAATACATTCAGAATTTTCCTGGGTAATGTATCTCATAAGGAATAATTCAGGGACTAAATTGTGCATCCAGCTGGTGGGAGCAAAGGACACAGGATGGGGATGGGGAAGACCAAGCTCCTCCTAACCCAGTCCACCTCCAAGCTTCAAGGCAGTGATTACAGGGGACAACCTGATTCTACTTTCTCACAATGGATTTGCTTTTTACCTTGGCTTGGGGATACAGCTTTGTACTATAGCTGAAGAATGGTAGGCCAAGCACAGGAGAGGGTATGTCAAGCCTGTCCGGAGAAGGAAGGGTGATAACCCTGGGTGCCCACTTCAGGGTAATGGTGAAGAATGCTGATGCTAAGGCTCACAGACTAGACTCACATCCTAACTCTACAACTGACCAGCCTTATGACTGATCAGAAAACTTCACCTGGTTCCATCTCTGTAAAATAGGGGAAGCTACCATGCAGGTTTGCTATAAAATGGAAATGGGTCTAAGTGCTGATGTTGGGCCTGCCCCTTGGGAAGTACTTAAGAAGTACCATGTCTTGCTCAGTTTAACTTTGTTACTCTGCCATTCAGTCAGAGAAGCCAACATAAACAAAAATGAACACACCAACAACCTTCCTGGTCAGGCTCAGCAGGGTCCCCACATCCTCAGCTCTCAGCCCCCTGAAGGAGTCAGCCTTGAGCCTTCTGTCTGGAGTTTTGTGTCTCTCCATCTCTCTCCCCCTTTAAGTTTTCAGACTCAGCTTCCTTTTACCCTGGCAGTATTTTCCTTCCTGTGGAAAAAGCTTGAAGGCTCCTGACTGTCAAGGGATGTAGGTTAGTTGTCCTGTCTGTGCAGCTCAATCTAGCTGCTGGATTAGACACTCATCCGTGGGTGAAGGAGCTATGAGTAGAATTCGCTGGTCTTAGTTGCATGACAGATCCCCCTGCCCAAGCCTGGGCCCAAAGCACTGTGTAAACTGACTAGGGGAGGCCCCACATCCTGTTCCGGAAGGAGTCTTCATGCAAATGTGGAGAGAGAGAGAGAGAGAGAGAGAGAGAGAGAGAAGAGAGAAGAGAGAACCTGGGATTTAGGAAGGGAGCAGAGAGGGTAGGGATGAAGATGAAGTATAGTGACATGCACCAAAGAGCCCCAGAACAGCAGCTGCGGCCTGAGAAGGTCAAGGACCCCTAGGGAGGCTCAGACTGGTCCTCTCCTCTCTCTGTTCTCTTACCCCAGCAGCTAGGTTCTAGTACCCATTCTAGGTGGTTGCTTATCCATGGAAGGAGGAAGTAATGTGAGGCTGGAGCCAGTAATTTCAAGTCTGGATAAGGTCCAATGGTCATGAGGGGTATTTATAAGTAGCTGATGACAGCTCCCAGCCTTTGAACAGAGGAGTGACACAAACAGTGGGATCTCAGCCCTAGAATAAGGAAGCAAGTAGCTAGGGCCTTCCTCCATAAGACTCCCTTTACCATTGGGGTAACAACTATCATTAATGGGTCTTATAAGATTTCAAACAAAGACACTTTGAGAAGGACTTGGTTCTTCTTGCACATCAGGATACCAGTCCCAAACCAGAGCTAAATATGCAGGGAGGATCCCCCTACTTCTAACCCCAGCCTCTCTGGGTGGGGCCGGGAGTACAAGATGCAGCTGGGATCCCCCTAATGGCAGAGGCTGAGTCTCCACTCCTGTAGAGCTTCCCCAGTCCCAAATCTGCTGAGACTCCCTCCCTCCATGGTCTAGGGTCAAGACATTCTGAGGGCCTCAGCCACAGCTGTCACCAGGACTTTACGAAGAGCTTCCTTGGCCCTTCACCCTTCACTACAGCAGACCTCTAGGAGATCTGGCATAGGATCGGGAGATAAGTAAAGCATCAGAGAAAGGTCAGATGGAGAGGGGATAGGCTGAGGGAGAAGCAGCATACATAGACAGAAGAGAAAGGAAAGCAGGGATGTAAGGAGGCCAAGCTCATACTAGGTACACAGGCATTAGGTGCACAAGGTCCAAGGCCCACAACTCCTTCCTGTCCACCTGTCCTGATTCCCTGCCACAAGGGCCCATACGTGGCTCCCCCAGGTTCCCACCAGCCCCACTCGAGGCAGAACCACCTGACTCACCTCCAAAGGACCCAGGATTGGGGAGCTGTCGTGGGCTCCCCAGCTCCAGGGGCACTTCCTGCTGCTCGGTCGTCTGCCCTGCAAATGTGGTAGCTAGAGCTTCCGACTTCCGCTCCCCTCACCACAGTGACACACACCCCTCCTGCTCCCCAGGGCTCCCCAGGCCTCAGAGTCGCTCAGCACCTCACACTTCCTGCCCACAAGACAAAACCTCCACTCTCAGCTCCAACACTGCCCAGCCTCCTTCCCTACTCCCCAACTCCCTGGAGGCCCATAACCTACAGCACTGGGCCCACAAAGAACCTTCCCTGGAATGAACTGGTCTTCTCCCACTATGGAGGAACCTGGGAGAGAAAAAGGGGAAGGTGCCAAAGCCAGGACTGTGACAGGCCCCTCCTCCTTCCTCCCTTGGTTCTGCCCTAGCTCAGTTCCCTGCCAGACACCCAGTGGGAGACAGGAGGGACAGGACAGTTCCAAGTCAGAAAACTTTTTATTCCTGTTTTCAGTGTATGTCATTTCAATTTTTGTATGGCTACATCTCATGTCACCAATAATAATGACACCTGATAATAACTGCCTTCTCATTACAAAGTATCCTCCAATAGCTCCCAAACTAGTTCTCACACCTACGTTCTGAAGCATTACTTTGCCCATTATATAGATCCAGACCTGGAGACAGGTTCAGAGAGGCTAAACTGCTGCTCAGGGTCCCACAACTGGAAAGTCACAAAGTAAGATTCAAACTCAGAGCCTCTGAGCGCATGAAGTGACTCTCATCCATTCCCCATGGCTGAGTCTACAACCTAAGTTCTCAGGATACAGGCTGTGGGTGTCCACGAGTGGACTATACCACTCTCTGCTCTTTCTATACATCCTACTTTCCCAGCCTCAACTACCACCAATTTCTCTGCTGAGTGTCCAAAGACCCAACCCCAGCCTGAGCTCTAGTCTTTATAAACTCACCAATCTGCCCAGGATCCTCCTTCACTGGCGTGTCCATAAAGTAGTGCCATCAAACCCAGGCTACCTGGCCCACACTTGAGAGGGCCTGGCTGTAGCTCAGACCATCCTCACCCCTCTACAGCACAAGAGTCCATAGGGACAGGCCTACCTGGAGTCCACATAACCCTTTTCTCCACCATACTCTGGGTGCTCAGGACATGAAATTCTCTGCTTCCAGCCTATATAGCCTCCTCTTCTTCCCGTGAGCACAAGGCAAGGAGTCAGGCACTCTGTGGAAGTACAGGTGAGGGAGAACATGGGCCCAGATAAGGGCGGTAATGACAGAGAAGGGCAGGTCTAGGTCTCGGAACTATATATTGGGGACAACTGCGAAGACTTGCTGTTTAGTCAGATGGCAGAGAAGTCACGGGCAACTTCAGGCTTGAGCAACTAGACAGTAACAATGGCATTTGCTGAAGTAGAAAAGAGTTGGAGAGAGAAAGCTTAGGAGAGGAAATCAAGGGTTTGGGGTTTTAAATGTTAGGTTTATCTATATGTGAGGTATGCAAGTAGGCAACTAAAAAGCTCACCTGGAGCTCACAAGCACCAGCAGAGAGGTGGTCTGAGGCAGGGATGGTGGGAGGAGAGAAGTCAGCCGAGGAAACTGATAAGGGTCTGTCAAGAAGGTGAGAGAAACAGGACAGAGTGTTATCACCCAAGATGAGAGGAGGTTACTTCTAAAGGAGGAAGTAGTTGGCTTTGTTGAAGGCTACTGGAAAGTCAAAGAAAATAAAAAGTGAAAGTGATCCATCATTGAACATGCAGAGGCTACAGACAAGCAAGGTTGGGAGGGCAGGATAGAAGCAGAAGCCAGGTGGCCAGGAAGTGAGGAGAGTCCTCTCCTTGACTCCAGGCTCTGCCCCCTCCGGTTCAACCTCCCAGTGACCCACAGCATGCTCAACTCCCTGAAGCTGGAATGGCACTGGTCAGGCAGTCTGCCTCTTTCCCTAATCCCAGGCTCTGGCTCCTCCACTTGTTTATGAGTCTACAGCCTCCCTTGGACCATGAACTTATCAACAGCAAGAACTGGCTTATTTACTTCACAGCAAAGTGCCTACCTTAAAATTGTCCCATAGCTACTTAATGAGTGACTAAAGTTGCTCATCTTCTCTTCTTCAATCACTGCAAGACAATAATATGGGAAATAAACTTGCTTTTCCCTCTCCTTTCAGGCAACAGGCCGTGTGTGTGTGTGTGTGTGTGTGTGTGTGTGTGTGTGTGTGTGTGTGTGTGTGAGTGCAGTGCATGTGTGTTGGAGGTATGGGGCATGAGTAGTTCTTACATCAAATTTCAAGAACCTCCCAGACTCCTGTCACCCTCACCTCAGTTCTACTTCCCTCAACTTTCATCCCCTTCCTCAGACTACAACAAACAAAACTCTTGGTAGAGGATCCCTTGGTAGAAGCCAGGAGGGCCTCTAGCTCTTGGGGGTGCAGGGGCTCACCAGCTCTTCAGAGCCCACCAGCAGTGACCTTTGATCTGTGTCCTTTTCCCCCACTCCTAGGGTCCCCCCCAGCCCACCACCCTTCCCCACAGCCCCGAGGATACACAGCTTCCTGGCCTCACCATCAGAAGGCAGCCCATGGCCCACACAGCCCAGGGCAAGCAGCGAGGCCAGAAGGCCCCTCCTGCTTCCTCAAGGTAAGCTTCTTCCTGTTTTCAGGCAGAGGAAGTGGCACAGTATAGGTGGTGGTGAGATGGCATCTCACACTTGAGCAACAGAGTCGGAGAAGGGGCTAGTACCTGGGAAAGGAGCCTCCTAAGAGGCAGAGGGAGAGAGGACAGAAGTGGCAACACCCATTCCTGAGGCCTCCTGCAAGCTGACATTTACTGAGGCAGTCTCCTAGGGACCAGGTGGTGGGGTAGGGAATATTATTATCCCCATGCTTCAGACAGATGAGGAAAGAGAGGGTCAGAGCAGTCACTCGAGCTCACTCAGGCCGTAAGTAAATGGCAAAGTTGGGACTTGAACCTAGGACTGCTGACCCCAACAAATACACTCCAGCTCTAGTGCAGTACCACCCACATACTGCAGATAAAAGAACTGCCTGAAGACTTGGAGCTAACGCAGTCTAAGCCTGAAGACTCTTCTCCCAACCTAACCTCATTAGAACACAAGAGTTGATGGAGCTTACTTACTGAACTTCCAGGGGCACTAGCAACCCAGTGAAGTGACAGGAGAGGTCTGAGGCCTCCCATGCCCTTGAATTTGTCCCCATAAAAGTTATCTCCTTTAGGGGGAAGCCTGGAAGTACGGCAACCATGTACTTTTTCTCCAGAAAAGGTCCTATTCTCTGCCTGCTCTGTGACCTCCGAAAGCCAGGGCCCTTAGGAAGGACAGACAGGAGGACACCTGCTTCCCCAGACATCCGTCTGCCAAGTTAGTTGTTTACCATCTCACCATCCAGCCTGACAATGGCTTCCCAGGGTCAGAGCAGAGAGTTGGAAGTAGAGCAGGGCAAGGGCTTCCAATGACTGGACACATAGCAGGGGCCAAAGGCCCCCTCCCCAATGTCTATGTGTTAGGATGGAAGGGAGCTGCCTCTCCCAGGCAGGACAAAGAGGAATGGTAAAGAGTCCATAGTAACTCCACTGCCACCTCTCAACACATATGTGGGTATCAATGCTTCCCTCAGTTTCCTGGACAAGACAGGAAGTGATTACAAAAGAAAATGACAGGGCTGGGGAGGTAGCTCAGTGGTAGAGCATTTACTTTCCTAGCATGCACAAAGCCCTGGGTCCCATCCCTAGTACTGCAAAACAAACAAACAAAAAAGTAAACAGCAAATGTCTATCTCTGCACTTGTTACCAATCCCAAGGTAGGTATGGCAGTTAGCCTGGCAGCTTGGAAGCTGTTTCTATCCTGCCTGTGCCCAAATGAAAGACCTTCTGTGTCTATAGACAGATGCCTGGGCTCTCCTCTGCCTCTGCCTTTCTCTCCCAGGCCTCCTGTCCTAGACTCTCTCCCAAAGCTGGGAGTTTTTAAGATGAGCACTTTTCCCTGCAGCCACTTGCCATAGATCCCTCCCTCATGTGGTAGTGAGTCAGGATCCAGAGTTACTCACTATCTATCTCCCATCCCATTGGCACCAGAAGGCATCCACAAAACATCTGCTAAAGCACATGTACCCGCCATTACTTACACTAGCGAAAATGCTCACTATCCACAAGAAGGAATTGGATAAATAAATGATGGTATAGACATGTAGCCATATGGTGAACCCAGGCAATCTGTAATGATCTTGTTTTGAAAAGTATTTAAGGAAGTTGAAAGATGCTCATAGCATATTATTAAGAAAACTTTATATATTCAGTATAATATAAGGCTTTTGAAAACTTGTTTGTATATTATATAATAAAACAATGATAAGTATTACACAGCAATTGCATACATGATTTTAATTTCTTTTATGCATGTTTGGTATATACCTAATTTTTTAAAATAAATATATATTATGTTTATCATCAACAGAAATAATAAAGGATTTATAAAGTGAGTTTTTTTGACTCAATCATGATGAAATATCTCAGCTCAGTTTAAATACGGAGAGATTCTTTTACAAATTTTGTCTCTCATTGCTGGTGGAGGCTGAGAATTATAGTGGAATAGTGGTGAGGGCTTGAGAATGTCTCACAGGTTTGTTTGGGGTTTTTTGTTTGTTTGTTTGCTTTGCTTTGTTTTATTTTGGTGGGGGTGGGGTAGGTGGGGGGTGTGCTGGGGATGGAACCCAGAGTCTGGCACACACTAGGCAAGTGCTTTACCTTTGAGATACATCCCCCACCCCCATGTTTATCATTCTTGACCTTTAATTGTCATCATCTCTCAAGAGGCTGCCAGTGTGACCTCTCTGATGCAGATGTGGGGACCATCATGGAACCTGAGATGGTATAAAATCATTTTAAGGTAAAGACATTTGAGATTGAGCAGATATAGAATGAAGTCTTCTTGGAAATTCTTTTATGTGACTAAAGGCAGCAACTTCTGAGGAAAAAAGGCTACCATAATCTCTTCTTCAGGGAGCATCCTTCCCAAAGGGAGAACAGAAATGAACCCCACCCCCTGGTGGATGAGAGCAAAATCACCCACACCTATGCACACAGACATTATCACAAAGTTTCTCATTTGTTCTCCAAAAATCCACCTGCCTCTCCCACAGAAGCCTTCTTCTGACC